ACCTTATTTTCCATATTGCAACAAAATACTGTAGTCCAGTTATTTGTTCAGATTTCTAGCCACAAGTATCAAGATTAAATCCAATTTAGTATGAAAATGATTCTATTGGATAATAAGTTACAGAATTACTAGAAATACTAAATAATTAATTTTAGAAATGGCTTGGGAAATACCCTGAACTTGTCCTAATGGCCTTACTCTACATTTTATTCTATGACACATTTCTATTTAAAATATTAACTCTGACATAGAAATTCCTTTTTTAAAAAAATATTTTAAATTTAATATGCCTGCATGTATCTGTGAGAATCAAAAGCATGGCCAATACCTGCAGAGGTAGAAAGAGGACCTTAGTTAGATACCCTTGGAACTGGTGTTGCCTGTGGTTGTGAGTTTGTGTTTGGGAACTGGAAAACAAACCCAGATCTTTTGCAAAAGTGACAAGTGCTATGTACTGCTGAGCCATCTCACTTTCCACAACCTCGATATTCTTATGGAATGAATGTGTCTCTTTCAAAGATATATGTTAAAGCCCAATTCTTTCAGTGTAGTACAATAACTCAGATTAAGAATTCTGGAGCCAGATTGTTGATGTCAACCACCTAATATGAATCCAACTTGCCTGGACTATTAAGAAGATTCAGGGTTTTGTTAAGTGTACAGCAGTGCCCATACCAAGGTGTGCACAGTGCAGGAGGAAAGCGATTGTGTTTGTTTTCACACACTGTAGCTATGTGAAGGCATAGCTATTCCTTGTGTCATGGTTGGAGGACTGTGGAATAATTTTTGAGACACTAAAATGATGAAATCAGCATGATATGTTCATCCATTTAAATGGTTTATGTCAAATTTTAAGGATTAATATTTTCCATGCTGATTAATTAATTTATTTCTTATTCATTCATCTATTCATTTAGTCATTCATTTATTTGTGTGTGTGCAAAAGTAAGAGGAAAACTTTGGGAGTAGGTTTTAGCTGTCAACCATTTGGGTTTTAGGAATTAAACTGGTACCAACAGGCTTAACAGTACACATGTTTACTGACTGAGCAATATTGCTGTCTCTTATTCTTTTCAAATGGGTCTTTGATACCAGAGAGATGGCTCAGCAGTTAAGAGTACTTGTTCTTGTAGAGCACCCAGGATCAGTTTCCATCACATCATGGCTCACCATAATTGTCTATAAGCTAGTTCTTCTGATCTCCTCAGAAATCAGGCTTGTATATGGTACATATATACACATGTAGACAAAACACTGGTACATGTAAAAATTATTAAGTGGACAATTGACATTTTCCATATTCCAAGTGGTGACCACTGTCAACAGCATCATTTCTTCCTAATTCTGTATTTTAAGTAGTCTGTTTTCTTCCTTACCTTCATATAGCAACAGACTATCTAAAATAATTCAAACATATATTAAAATCGTATAAATTTCATACTGTATGCCCTTATTCCTAGGCCAGATTTCTAGAAAAAAATGTTGTAATAATCCTAATGTCCATCATATATTTTGTTATATTAGAGTAGCAGCAAACATGGGCCTTTAAGGGCCCTTTTCTGGTTTGCAGTTGTATTACAGAATTGATTATAAAACTACTCCCTAAGGAAATATGGAGACAAAGTGTGGATCAGAGACTGAAGGAAACCATCCAGAGACTGTCCCACCTGGGGATCCATCCCATATACCGTCACCAAACCCAGACACTATTGCAGATGCCAAGAAGTGGTTACTGACAGGAGCCTGATAAAGCTATCTCCTGAGAGGCTCTGTCAGAGCCTGACAAATACAGAGCCAACCATTGGACTTGGCACAGGGTCTCCAGTGGAAGAAGAGAAAGGACTAAAGGAGCTGAAGGAGTTTACAACACAATAGGACAACAATATTAACTAAACCCCTCTCCCAGATCAACCAAAGAGTACACATGGAGGTTCCCATGGCTCCAGCCGCATATGAAGCAGAGGATGGTCTTGTAGGACATCAATGGAAGCAGAGGCCCTTGGTCCTGTGAAGGCTCAATACCCCAATGTAGGGGAGTGCCACAGTGGGGAGGCAAGAGTGGGTGAGCAAGCACCCTCATAGAAGCAGGGGAAGGGCAAATGGGATGAAGGTTTCCAAAGAAGAAAGCAGAAAAGGGATAACATTTGAAATATAAATAAAGAAAATATCTAATAAAAGAAAAGAAAAAACTCCCTAGTTTCTTTATTTTTTTAAAATATGAATAACAATATTGACTTAAAAGTCTTGCGAAAGTTAAATGAGATGACCAGGTGTATAACAGATATTTGATAAATGTTAATTTTTCTCTTTGTATTATTTATCATCTTAATGTTTTAAATAATTACATTGTGGATAACTGGCCTTCCTTGAGTATTTTGCTTTTAAAGACCATAAAAGAAACTGACATAACATATTGAAGTGCTGTTCCATAGCTTTGGATAGTTTAGGCCAACTGACTACCACTGAATTATGACCATAGTCACAAGTTAGGATTTTTATTTATTTTATTTTTTATTTTATTTTTGGTATAGTACTGTTAAGTCCCTCTGATTTCCTCCCTCCCCCCAGGTATAAGATTTAAATTCTTTTCTTTTTCT